TATGAGGCAGTTGATAAGTTTTTCAATGTAGTACGTCGAGTGAGTGAAAAAATAGTCTTGAACAGTTACATCGTACTCATTCTTGTTTATGTTACATAATCTCTCTTTTCCTTCGAGCCATTTAAATGAGAGGTCGTAACACTCGGGACGTTTTTCCCGTTTCGCTAGGAGATTCCCCCCTTACACGGACGAGCCCCCAAACTGTTAGAATAAAAGTATTCTATTTGCCGAGATCCGAAATATAAGTTCTGGTTCTGGTTGGGCTACCGAGCAAAGGAGAGCGGGTACCCGGGACCAAAGAATGAGACACGCAAATGGTGCAGTTCATTCTAAGCTCAACTTTATTATACATGGTGCTGCATATATATATATATATATATATATATCCCGATAGAAAGGTGTTTTCGTGTTTTTTGTCTTGTGAGTCGCAGTGTTTTTGTACGTATTCGTCGCGTCTATCTGTCTCGAAGCGCGCATACAGTCGTGAGTTTCTGCTCGATGTCGGCAGAACCACATTTTTAGAGTTAAACTCTGCGCACGCCGAAGAGCTGCGGGATCTCATATATATATATATTAGTATTTGCAAAAGTGAAAGTCAGTCTGGAAAATACAAGCTGAACAAGCATAATAACCTCTTTTGGCAACAATCAGATTAATATGTCTTATGATAATTGAGTAATGTTTTTAGTCTAGAATACATCCAGACCAGACAGGCACACAAATGTCCCTAGACACAGGATGTTCGTGGGGTCAAACAGAATCTCACAATTTCAGTCCCTCTCATTCAGCAATGGTCTGTACGGCTGCGGGAAGAACTGTTATACGAACAGAGTCAGGTCCCAAATCTTCATTGAGCAGCTTGTTTATACTTTGCATATAAAGAAAAGCAGCACTGTCATCCTGTATGTTGCCCTCCAGAGGGTACACAAAGATGAAGGCATAAAAACAAATCAGTTATCCCTTAACACATGCAAAATAACAAATATGTAGTGTAACCTTGAATGAAGGAACAGTGTAGCTAGCGATTTACATTTATTTTTAAGATGAAAACTCCTAGCTCAAAAGACGAGCTATTCTAGAGTCAAAATAAATGTAAAAACCAACGGCATGTTTTTGATGTTTGCATCGCAAATAAGACTAATCGCGCAGATCTATCCATCGTGTGAAATACCCGTCAATTTGGTGATAATGCAGATCCTGCAAGTCATTAACATATTAAAGAGCAATTGGCAGGCAAAAGGGCGCCACCCCTGGTGCGAATTGCCCCTCGTTGTCACTTCAATCACCATCAAACTGTTGAAGAATGTAATTCCCAACCCCCATCCAGACCCATGGGACATGCCTGCAGGAAAAGTAAAACAAGCATGGACAGAATCAGAGGCGTCATGCCCATTCAAAGTGAGGAGGCACATGCCCCCTCAGATTTCTGAGCCAAGTGCATTTTGCATGCAGCTTCCAAAAGACAAAAATAGCAGAATCATATTTTTTATATTTGATACAATCGCACCGGTGTGATTGGATCGTTCAGTGCGGCACAGCATCAGCTGCTAAATTCAAATCTGCGTTCGCTGGCTGGCGCTGAGCCAGAGACAGGCGCGTTTTTACAGCGCTGCGCATTATAACCAATCACACACGATTCGGTTGAGCTTATGAATGCAATGGCCAATCAGAGACGTGCAGATGAGTCATCGCTGAAACGCGGTGTTTTGCCTTCATCAGAAACAACAAAGTGCAGATGTGCGTACGAATGTAAGAAATTCATTTCACAGTGTAAACAGCTTCAGTGATTTTAATGGAAGTTTTTGAGAGTGCCTCTGGCTAGACAATGAAAATGTTCTTTGATAATGTAAATGTTCTTTGCTCTCTGTAAAATGAAAGTGTTATAGTTAGTAACGTACAATATTGTTATTAAATTCACATTAAATGCAAAGTCAGTCGTATTAAAAATATTTTATGGCATAACACCCATATCTGTTTCTTAAGTAAAAATAAGTAAAAATTGTATGTGTAGTTAATAGATTACACTATTAGTCTACTTTGCCCATCACCATTGATCAAATAACATAATCTATAAAGGTGCAAAACGCATTTACTTACACATATTTGAGAATCGAGATATTTCCAGATATAGGCTAGTTAACACGTTTGGAATTATTTCGAATAAAAAGACAAAAATAAATAAATAAAACATAAGCCTATATCAGTTATACAGCGCTATCGTGGCTGCTGTGTGTCACATGACAAGCATGACCCCCCCCACCCCACGTGCCCCCTCAAAAATCATGAGTGCATGACGCTCCTGGATAGAATAACAAAAAGCTATTTGTCCCTTAAAAATGCATTTGTAAATTCTATACAAATGTACATCGTAAAACATCAGAATGTATAAAATTCTTTGCTATTTTTGTGCTTGCTAATTTTTGTAAACTTCCATTTAAAAAATATAATTTCTTTAATCAAATCTATTATTAACTACATATATTATTAATAGTAGGCTAAAAAATATAGGGAATTTGAAATAGGCTAATTTCACTTCTTTGGTTTGAGTAGACATTTATTTTTATTTTTATTTTTATTTATTTATTTTTTGCCATGTACTGTGTTTATGTGCAAACTATTGTTTGAACTAGTACTGTATAGTGTGATATCCTCCAGGAGCTTCTGGTGGGACAACTGCAGCGCAAACAATATAGTACGTTTTTATTATTATTCACAACATTTTAAGACATTGTGAGAAGAGACAGAAGTCAGAAAGAGCTTTATTACCAAGTATGTTTACACACACAAGGAATTTGACTTGGCGACAGGAGCTTCCAGTGCAGAAGAAAGTATGGACATAGTGCAGACATACATAGGAATTACACAGTAGAGGTGGAATATAACACTAATATAAGAAAAAACTGTATTAGTAATAATAATAATAAATAACATGTAATTGTTTAAACGAATGTACAGGTACGAATGAGGTTATTTAAGTTCACTTTTTACTCAATGTTTAGAGATATTATACTTGCATATACTCCTTAATCTAATTGGAAGCATGCCATGATTAACAGGCCAGAAGATTAATGAAATAACTGTGATGCATGGGAATATTGGGGAGATTCCAAAAAGAAGGAGGAGCACAGGAGCACCTGCAATGAAATCTTTGGTCAAGAACTGTATAAAAGTGTGAGTTCCAAGTGTGATTGTTAGATGTTCTGCAGGCTTCTCGGCTTTGCTGTCTGGATGAATAAACTGAAAATATGGCATCTGGAACTTCTTGCCTTGAGAGATTTTTTGGAAAACAGTGAAGACTTTCTACAGCAACAACAGTGAGTATAAGTGGAGATGTATTGCTTTCATGTCAAAGGAACAAGAGCTAGGAACTAAACTCTCGTTTCTTAATAAATCACAAGAGCTCCTCAGGAAATCTGAATTTAGCTCATTGGTGCATAGTGCCGAAGAGAAAGCAGTAGATTATATGCTAAACAGTGAGAGCAGACTTGTGGAGGACATTGTTTCTAAATTTATCACTGTACATCTTAAACTGAAAACCACATACTAGTTTATCATGCAGAGTGTTGCATGATAAAAACTTTAGTATGAGCCAAATGCATCAAAATCACACTATATATATATATATATATATATATATATATATATATGTTTACCATAATTTCAATTTTAAAAGGTAATTTTATGAATTTACATTAGACTAAAAGCTCAAGCACAGAAAAGGACTTATTTGGAAGAATATTTGGAACGCTAAAAGAGCCCTTGTTGTATCTTAAGCAAATTCAAACAAGCTCAATAGTTTCCTATCATCAGATGTTTGAGTAAAGGTTCATGTTGGCACATATGATACAACAAATTGGACATATGATTCATTATGAGAAAAATTATAGAAATTGTCCAGAAAACTTCTAAAACACTTAGACGATTGTGCTGTTCACTGATTGAGGATATTGGGATCCATTGTGATGCATGTTGCTATTGCAATGACAATAAGAACAACAATGGTGTGCAGCTTTAGATATAACCCTTGTGGTTAATGTCGTCAGATTGATTGTCGCCAGCTGATGTTTCTAGGCTGTGATGATGCCAGTGCATGCTTATTTCCACCTCTGCAGGATGTTGTGGGTTTCACACCCCTGTGCTTTAATGCATCACAGGTTATTGGTTATGCAGAGGACAGCTACAGCACTAACTAAATGGCTAAAAGCCATTCTGAGCAAACTACATTCTCTCAAATAACAATATTGTTGTGGTATTAAAATATTCATGATGCTATAGTACATTTTTATTATTATTCATATAAGATCCTAGTTTTGTAAGCAAAACTAGGATATTGTAAGGTTATGCTAGTTCACTATTCACTTAGTCTTAGTGTATAGCTACCAGTCTCCCTATTGCAAGGGGGGTGATTGGATGCATGCCACGATTGAAAACATGTCACAAGATTAATGAAATAACTGTGGTGGGAGTATTGGAGAGATTTCAAAAAAGAAAGCAGAGGAGCACCTGCAGTGAGATCGTTGGTACTGTATTTTGCAAGTGTTGCAAGTGTGATTGTTATGTTCTGCAGGCATCTCGGCTTGGTGTCTGGATCAGTAAACTGAAATTGTGGCATCTGGAACATATTACCATGAGAGGGAGGGGAGGGGGGATTTACTTGCTATACTAAAGCATATTATGTTTATATTGCTTTAGTTTAACAATACGGCTAATTATTACTGTGCCAATATTTAAACATTGTTCTGCATATCAGTTATTGGGCAAGTAAACATGCATTAAAATAACAGTGTAAGTGAATGTGAATGAATAATGACCGATCTCTCTCCAGGGAGTATATTTGCTTTATTAACTTTTTCAACTAAATGTTGAAAGAAGCTGACATAATTTAAAACAATAAGAAACAAAATAACGTACTCACATATGGATGTTTAAAAATACTTTTTGGTAGGTGATAAGTGGTGGGCGGAGGATGTGTCTTAAGACAGCCCCTTCTTTTGTCATGCTGACATGCTCTGGCATTTACACAGCATGGGCTTGTATCGCAGCCTCAGAATGTCTCATCCGCTCTCACCTAAACGTTGACGGCGGAAATGGATGCGCGTTTAGCATGTTTGATGCGTTAAAACCAAGAGTTTCCAGGATTCTCATGCGGATTAAATCTTTGTTTTGAACAGGATACGTTTGGAGATCTAAAGTGGACACGGAGTCGATGCGGAGATGCACTGTAAATTGTGAGTATAGCTACTGAACTTGGCTATACAGAGTTAATAAAATGAAAACTTGCTCGAGATATATGTGAGAGGATGCTCAAAACGCGTAGATTGTTTTTCCGGAAATATTTCTGTCTGTTGTTTTTTTAGTGCGCTGCACACATTTCTTCATCCATTTTTGCATTGCCTACACACTACATTTGCAAGTTGCAAAAGAAGTTTTAACTGACTAGTATCTCTTTTATATTACTAGCACGGATTTTAATAGCCAGTAAGTTATTCTATAGTGAATAGTTAATTCAAAGCAGTAGGTTATGTGTTTATTAGATGTAAGGGCAGGGGCGGTCGGAACGCGATTTCTGCCGAAGCGGAGCGATTTATGGGGCCCCAAAAAGCTATAGCGGCGCCCCTGCAAGCTGCGTTGTCCGTCGCATGAATGAACCTCGGTAAAAATTTTACTGATAAATTAAATGAGCTGAGAAATATGAGAATATTGTATATTTTTAATCGACTATTTAGAATGATCGAAACACGATTCGCTCGTTTGAGTCGGTTCTTTTGGTCAATCTGATAATTCAGTTTGAATCATTCGGACAACTCATTCACACTCTGGAGTAGGCTACTGTAGAATGGGGTATTTTTAACACGGAGAAAGAATTTGCATTTAAACCAAACCTGCAAATACATCCTGTTAGCGATTAAAAAAGTTCAACAAATGTGAATATTGTGGCTCTGTACTGCAGGTAAAGACAATACGTTATTTTGGACACATGATACATACTCAAGACAGGAGTAACGGCTGCTAAAATTTCGGCTTTACCATCACATGAATAAATAAATTACATTTTAAAATATATCAAAACAATTCCTTTTTTTTTATCGTAATAGGCCCAAGGCCCCCTAAAATATTGGTGCTACTAATAGGCTACTTTGGCATTACTTGTCACCATATACTTAGGCCTACTAGTAATTTAAAAATAAGTACTTAATTTATTAATTCAAATAAATGAAGGAATACTGGTTAAAAGAGGTTGTTTTGCAATAATTGCTAAAATGCAGTTGCGATGAGGATGCTTGTAGTCTGCATATAACATGGAATTAAATGGTTTCTTTTATGAGCTTTCACTTCCACATGACATAAGTACAGAAGCCACATACTGCACTAAAAATGAACACTGAACTATAGTTAGACAGCATTTAAGGTCATGACTGGTCACAGCTCAGAATAAATAGGAATACAGGGATCCTATGAACAACAGCTGTCAGTGTTTGAGGGGGGTTGGTTGCAACAGCTGTGTGTAAGTAGTAAGTAAGCCTAGTTGCGATGGAAAGGGGCACTATACCTAAATATTTTTGCTTTGTACTATTAAACTTTTTTTCTCTTTTATGAGTCTAGGGCTGTCATTCATTTTAAGTGACATTTATTTTTAGTGATATTTTTAAGGTTGCAGGACTTAGAAAAAGCCCCCATTATAGATCACATTTAAATGTGAATTGAAATTTAAAGATGAATGAAGTAAACACTCATTTTAGGTCCAAAATCTCATTAAATAAACATCTACTGAGATTGCGTACATTGACTAAAATATGTTTGTTAAAGGTGGAATGTGTAATTTAGTGTGATGCATTGAGATCCAGTCAGATGAAGATATGAAGGTAAAAAGCTAACTTTTATTTAATAATGAATAACTGAATGACAAATGAATAATACATTTAAGTAAAATGTGAATCAAACTTTTAATAAATCAAAGATAATTATTGACAGTGGGGAGGTGAATACAATTTATTACCAATAAGATTAATTGAAAAACAAAATTATTTATAGTATCTTGCCACCAAAGCAATGAACAAAAGGGCCCCTTGAGCATACAGAGCAGAAAGTGTAACACTTACGAGAACTAAACACTCTTTATACCCTTGCACTAATCCGATAAAATAAGGGTAAGCCCCTACATCATGTAAATTTCAATGTCATGCACCTTGTGACTGAGTTGACGTGACCTGTCAATGCTGCATCTGATGGATTGTTGTGGTTTTTGTAAAACAAGCATATCGCATATCTCAGGGCTGCAGACTCTATTTTTGCAAACCATGGCAGCAAAAGAACATCTAGTACTTTGGGCAGAATGTGTTAAATTCTAAGGAAACATAACGCAAAAATAATGACATCCATATTCACATACATCTTTGCATATTACGCTAGGACACTTCATCCTTAGTTTGTTTCCCCTAATTGATTCTGTTATTTTCTTGTTAATCACTGTGAAGCTGTTTTGACACAATCTGTATTGTATAAAGCACTATAGAATTGAAGGTGACTTGATTTGACTTAAAGGTTATTTCTTAGATTTTCAAGTGTTATATAACCTAATTTCTGTATTTTTTGTTTAGAACTCTTATTGCATAACTCAGCCACTGAGGAAGCATTACCATGCAGGGATACACATGGAGTTCAAATCAGCATCCATCAACAAGATACCAAGATCAGCCTCCACCTCAATACCAAGAACGACTTCCTCCTCAGTACCAAGAATGGCCTCCACCTCAGTACCAAGAACAATTCCCACCTAAGTACCATGCTGTCAGGAATGATCAATCCAATGCGTTCCAGGTACAGCTCATCCCCCAACTTCAAACCACATTACAGACAAGATATTCCAATGGACAACAAGAGGCTGCAAATCAGTGGAGCACTTGCTCAGGCAGTGCGGACTCTTCTGCTTTTCAACCAAATTCAGATGGATATAATTGGTTGAAACGGACAAACCAGATCAAACCCCAATACCCATTTGCAGCCTCCAACACACAGCAGCACTACCCATCTGACGACCCCAATGCATATAGGTATCATGCCCAGTTCATGCAATGGCATGATTCCTCCCCACAGAACTACAGAAACACAGGTTGTAGCCAAGCTCAAATGTACCATGGCAGCTCTGTGGGTAACAGCAGGGGTTGGAGTTTCCACATTTCCAACAATGGCAGCTCTTGTTCCATGAACAATCAGCAACAACTTCAGCCTCCTAGAATGGCTCCTCTTCATCATCACCAGCAACAACAAGAGTTCTCTAGACAATATACAGGCAAAAAACGAAGACGCCACACACAATACTCTTCTCGGGCCCATAACAGTGGAGTCTCCCAAAAAAATCCTAACAATCAAGCTCAGAGCAGAACTGAGGCCAATCATACCTCATGCAACTCTACGACACCACCTTCTGGAGCACAGAGCAATGTTTCATTACCTTCCAGTATGGTGAACCAAAGTCCTGTTAACCAGAAACAGTCAGAACTGGGGTCAAATGCAGGTCCAAATGTATCTGCGACCCAGTCTCAGAATAATCAAAATGCTGCACATCAGTCTCAGGGCACAAGCAGTGAGACATATAACACTAATCCGACTTCTCAAATGACACAGACCAGTGAAGCCCAGCTTCAGCCCCAATCTAGAACTGATTTTAACTTGTCAGCTTATGCTGACTCAATAATATATAGATTACTGTGTTCAAATGACAATGAACAAGCAAATAAGCAGCAATCAGATGAAAGAATTACTCATCAGAACACTCGTCCAGAACAGTCGGAGGTTTGTGCAACCAAAAGGACTGACAATCACTCAAAGGAACCTTTTTCTGAACCAAGAGAACAGTGTACAGTTGAACCACCCAGTAAAAGAATGAAGTATGTTGTGTTTCAGAGAGACTGTCGGAACAAAGAAACAATAGTGTCCAAAGACATAAGTAATTTTGGGGTGCTATCTGCCCAACCTGGTACCCATCAGACAAGTAGCAATGAGAACAGACTTAAAGGAATGAGCCAACACAACATACAGTACAGTACGGACGCAGCAGACTGTCTTGAAGTGGTCTTTGCACTACAGAAAGCTGCTCAGCAAACTCACAAGGCCATTGCCATCGTTCCACCTATTTACCAGCAGATCTCAAACGCTGCACCAATGGCTGATACCAGCCCAAAAAAAGCTGACAGTCCACTGTTAAAGATTGATTCTGTTTGGTCACTTGTTGAAGAATCTAACGAACAAAAAACTGTAAATGACAAGCTGTCTGAATCCACCTCACAAATGGCTCAACAGGACAACAAAAGCCTTGAAAATGCAACTGCAAGCAACATGGCAGACCCCGATACATGCTCTGCTAGCCCAGTTGAATGTCAAAATTATGTGCAGCAAAGTGACTGTGATTCAGATGATCCTTCATTTGACTTGTCCAGTGTGCCAGTGATTGAGTACACACTAGAGAAACTGATGGAGTTAGTGAAGTCTATAGAGATGAAAGAGTTATCGGCCGGATATCCTGAGAAATCTCAGAGCATTTTAGAAAGGATCTTAAAACTCTACTGGAATGGGAAAGCTTCCAATATGTTGGAGCCTTTGAAATCATTTAGAGAGGCACTGCAATTATCCATAGAATATGCAAAGGATTATGGGTCTGTGGTATTTAAAAGCATCGAAACTGAAAACCTGAAGAAGCTAGCTCATTGCGACATTCTCAAACATGAGACGTATTCATGGTCAGAGGAGTTCAGATCTTCTTGGTTAAATGTTGATGGACAGCCAGCTGATATTGAAAAGGTGCTTTCAGAACCACTGTTGGATGACATAACTGTGTTCAAGGCAACATCACAGTCCTTTTCAGATAACGCTGTTGTCACTTCAGCCAGTTTAGGTGTGAATTCCCTCACAGACATGCCTGAGGTTTCATCCAAGGAGAAAAGTGTAAATCCAGACACGTGCAGTCCAACAGATCTTTTCATGCAAATGGCAGGAAATGACAGGGGGGAAGTGGCTGCGGAAAACAATGGGCATTCATATGTAGTGCTCAGAAAAGAAAGTGAGAAAGAGACATTCAAGAAGCAAGAGGACATCAATCAAAACCAAATTTTTAACATAGAGCCTTCAGACATCACACCTTTAGCTGAAAGGTCTACAGAGAGACTTACAGACCTCAGCAATGCAAAAGAAGTATTCAGACAAGATTATGAGCAAACACCTGATAATGTATCCGATTCACTTTCTCTGAGTCCTGGAGACAGTGTTTCAGATGGTGTAAAAAACTCTGTTGTGTCTTTCTCTACTGAGACTCATTGTAGCTCCATGGATACATGGCAGGTAGAAGATATTTCTGATGATGAAAATACAGGCAGTAAAGAGGCTCTGAATAACTCCTCAGACACCTGGCTGCTAGAAGATATTTCTGATGATGAAAATACAGGCAGTAAAGAGGCTCTGAATAACTCCTCAGACACCTGGCTGCTAGAAGATATTTCTGATGATGAAAATACAGGCAGTAAAGAGGCTCTGAATAACTCCTCAGACACCTGGCTTGTAGAAGATATTTCTGATGATGAAAATACAGGCAACAAGGAAGCTCTTAATAACACCTCAGACACCTGGCTTGTAGAAGATATTTCTGATGATGAAAATACAGGCAACAAGGAAGCTCTTAATAACACCTCAGACACCTGGCTTGTAGAAGATATTTCTGATGATGAAAATACAGGCAATAAAGAGGCTCTGAATAACTCCTCAGACACCTGGCTTGTAGAGGATATTTCTGATGATGAAAATTCTGGAAATAAGGATGTTCTTCTTAATTCCTCAAACACCTGGCAAGTGGAAAACATCTCTGATAATGAGAATCCAGGCAATATGGACACTCCTAGTAACTCCGCAGACATATGTGCGGTGGAAAATGAATCTACTGATGAAAATTCAAGCGATGATTCCTTGTTTATGGGAATCACGGTGCTATCATCTGAAGATGCTAAAACATTTTTCCAACATATTGAAAAGGATCCTGAATGTACCATCAAAACCAAATCCCAATCCAAATTGGAGAGCCCAGATCTTGTAGCATGCTTTGATGCACCCAGTCAACTTAACCAGGAGTACAACAAAGCACATACTTGCTCTCGCTGTGGTACCCAAATAGTGAAATCCAATTCCACTAATGTGACAAAGATGGACAGTGATGCAGATCTTTTCTGCCTCCAGTGTTGGGAACAGGCACCATTGTTTGAGCTAGAAGAGGAGCCATGCTCTCCAATGACAGATGAGGTCAATCTTCTGGGCTATGCTGCTAAATCAAATGAACTGGGTCAAAATGATAGTCTGCCATGTCTTAAGTTGGAAGTCAATGAGCCAAATGTGGCTTCAACAAAGGAATTCATTGCATATGAAGGACTGAAAGGACAAAAAAATGGTTGTCTTTTAACATCAGACCCGGGGGGAAATTGTAGTCCACCATGTCTTAAAATAGAAGTCAAGGAGCTAACTGTTGCACCAAATGATGAATGCATTGCGAATGAAGGACTGGCAGGACAAAAGAGTGTGTTCTTGGTAAAATCAGAACAGGGACACAATTGTAGTCTGCCATCTCTTGAACTGAAAGTCAAGAAGCCAAATGTTGCTCCACTGGAGGCATGCATTGCAGAGGAAGGACTGATGGGACAAAAAAGAGGCAGTATGGTAAAATCAGAACTGGTAAAAAGCTGTTGTCCACCATCTCTTGAACTAGAAATCAAGGAGCCAACAGTTGCTTCAACAATGGAATGCATTGCAGATGAAGGACAAAAAAGTGACAGTATAATACAATCAGAACTGAGACAAAATTGTAGTCTGCCATCTCTTGAACTAGAAGTCGAAATGCCAAAAGTTTCTTCTCCGGAGGAATGCATTGCAGATGAAGGACTGAAAGGACCAAAAAGAGACAGTATGGCAAAATCAAAAATGAGACAAAATCGTTGTTCACCATCTCTTGAACTAGAAGTCAAGGAGCCAACTGTTACTTCAGCAGAGGACTGCATTGCAGATAAAGGACTGACAAGACAAAAAATTGACAGTATGGTCAAATCGGTGACTGAGACAATGTCTGAAAATCAGGGGTCAGCTGAACGGGAGCTAACCAAGATTCAACCAAATAAGCAGAAAAATGAAAAAAATGAGAAAATTAGAGTACCCAAGCCCCAATCTTTCACGCAATGCAGAAAATCATTTTCAAAGAAAACTGCATTTTCCAAGCATAAGCTAAAATCTGGTAGCACTAGTACTGGTTCTGATGATTCTGTGCTTTTCGCTCCAGATATTATAGTTAAAATGAACTGGCCACAAAAGCAAAATCAACCTCGTGTATCTGCAAACAAACGCTGTAGTGGTGAGAGTCAGAACTGCAGTAAGGTGAAAAAATGTAAAGAACACAGGCAAGGAAGACGAGATAATCATGACAGAACCTCAACAAAACATAGAGAAAACCTACAGAAAGTGACAGAGAAAGTGTCTGGTCAAGCAAGTGACACACCACCCCACGGATCAGAAAAGAAGCTGGACCTACATGGTATTCTGTCAGTGAATAAAATGAAAAGAACTGAACCAAAAACAGTGAGATTTGATTTATATGGGTCCAAAACAGAAAAACAGTACTATCCCCGAGAGCGGCATTTTACTGCTCCTGCTACCTTAACAGTCTCTGATTGCAAAGACTATACCGATGTGCTTTCTGCTAAACAAAAAGTTCACAACCAATGGAGTAGCACCTTTATACCTAAAACAAAGAAGACTTGTCCTCCCAGGTCACCACAGGAGAGTGGACCACAGAAGAAAAAAACACAGAAACCTCAGGATCTCTTAAAGTCAAATATGAGTGCATTAAGAAATCATTTGACTCACAGAGCCAAGCTATTATCCAGTAGTGACATAGAGACAAGTCACTTGAGAAAACCATATTTTCATCAAAAGCTTACGAAAACACTAAGCAGCTAACCTGTGTCTAAGTTGCTTAATTATTGTTTATATTATGTTTACTTTAATATGTTTACACATAATAGCTGTAGCTGAAATGTGTGACAGCTTTCTGTTGATGACAATGTTGAATGTTTATTTTTTTATTGTTATGGAGAGCTAAATGGAAAGTTTATTTTTTAGGGAATTATTGTTTGTAATATACTACACAGTATGTGACTTTGATTGCAGTCATTTTGCCAAATTTTATTTTTTTGTAAGTATAGTTTTTAAAATTATTTTTTACTATTTGAAGTACTTCTGAATGTTGTTGCATAATGTAAAATATAAATATATATTTGTATTTATAAAAACATGACTGGAAAAGCCTTTGTGTCACTTAATACATCTTGTAAATTACTTGTTCTGTTTGTGTTTCAAGCTTCTTTGGTTCTTTGTTATTGCAGAAACATTTAATGTTTTGGAACATTTACCACAAGTTCACATCACTCATACTTTAATCACTTTATCATACAATTATGATGTGTATGATTATTCATTTAATAATTATTTCATTTTTTAATTTACAGTACAGATTGGTGTAGAAAAACGATGCAGCAAATGCGGTTTCAAAATAAAGTGGTGTGCTTTGAAATACAAAATATATATATATATATTCGATAGAAAACAGTTATTTTAAATTGTAATAATATCTCACTGTTTTTTTAACTGTTAAAAAATAAAATACAATTCTTAATGTGGTTGCGACATGCTTTGATCTCGCCGCCACGCGGTCACGTGGTTCATGGAGCTCTCAATAGTTCCAAACAACTCCGCACTGTCAATCTGTTTGAATGGATTTAATCGGGACAGACAGTAGTTTCACTAAATATGCAGCAATTTCTAGTAATTATGTGCATTGATAACTACGCTGACTACACTTTACAATAGCATTCTATTCTGGGGAGTGATAAAGAGAGCATTAATATGTTCTCATACTCCTTGGCAGTCAAGTGCAGCCAAACACCTTAAGTGTAACTTTTAATCAATTCAATAATTCTACTATATTTTAGTCCAGTTCTATTTAGTTAATATTTTGAGGAGATTTTTGGTACTAAATATGTGCAATAATTATGATCCATGAATGGCCATTTAAAATAAAACATTCTCTTAATAAGCTTATTTATATTACAATTAGTGTAGTATTGTGGTGAAATAGTTAATAATAACTGAAACAGTTTATTGTGATTGGCTGTTCTGTGTGGGGGTCCAGTGTTGCTGGGCAACGGGGGCGGTGCCAGTGCATGCAGGCTGCCGCTGATGGCAGGGCCAGAGTTTGTTCTATGAGCGTGCATGTTAATAAAGTTAAAGGGGTGGTTCATTGCGATTTCACTTTTTTAATGTTAGTTAGTGTCTAATGTTGCTGTTTCGGCATAAACAGTATCTGCAAAGTTACGAAGCTGAAAGTTCAATGCAAACGGAGATATCATCTTTAAGCTTTAATCAGGATAAAACTGTATATTAAAACTAACATAAGCAGTAGCATTTACAAATAACAGCCTATCTAAAAGCATGAGACATTAAAAGCCATGCTTGCACAGGTTCTGCACGATCCTCTTCAATAATATCCTCTGCTTCTCAATCGGGCTCAAACTGATAAGCGATACTAACGACGCCGTTGTTTACAATACAACCGGAGCACATGCCGCCGAGGTGAGGGACGGGACGTTTAGACGCGCGCTAGAGGCGGTTTAGCCAATCACAACACACTGGGCTAGCTAACCAATCAGAGCCCATCGCCTATTTCTGAGGGAGGGCTTCATAAAAGAAGGAAATGATCAGCCCGTTTCTCAGAGAAGGGACAGAGCGGTGTGGAATAAAGGTAAATTATGTGAAAAATAATGCGTTTTTAAAAAAACGAAGCGTTAACACATGTTAGACTGCACCCCATAAACACAATCAAGCCTAGAAAAAACCCAGTGAACCACCCCTTTAAGACTGAGTTCACCGAGTTGTCTACTCCATGTATCATGACAGTATTTAGGGTTAAAATGGAGAAAAGGTTTTTAACGTCCAGTGCAAAGAGGCAAATTAGAGGCATTTGGTGGCCAAAAAAATAATATTCATATGTAATGCCGTGGTTTAACCAGTAGATGCCTGTATGGCTGTTTAATAAATATAGCCTACCAATATTTAGCTCTACTGTAGTTGCTCAAAAGAGTTTTGCCGGTCATAATTGCTTACTTGTTTTTTTTTTTTTAGGTTTTGCGTTTGAATGTATATTTAGACATTAACAAACACTCAGTTTTTATAAGTTTAGATTTTTTTTAAATGTTACATTTAACAAGGTTAATTATGAACACCCCAGTGTTGTTTTGTGATATTCATATAAGCATACAAGTTAATATTACAAAAGGCAAGCAAATAGGGAATTGAACCCAATAAAAAAAGTTTAAAATAATGTTTAAAAAAAAAAACACAAGGCAACCTGTTGCATTCAGCGAAACTCTTTATTGTATTGTATTACTGCCTTCAATGGGTAGTCTTCATTGAAACTCATTCAACCTCCTACAGGGAGAGAAAGATTGCAGAAAGAATAAAAACTTAAAAATATGACAACTAGCATCTGCTTATGGTCGCTATTAAGGAGTTTCTCACATTATCTAACTGCAATTATAGTATAACTCTCTATTATCTAACGATAAGCATTTACTATAATGCGTTTCATTTCCGAGAGGTCAACTGCGTTAAAATGTCAAAAAAATTATGTAATTTCTTCAACATTCTGGCGATTGTCCTTGAGAAAAACTAAAATGAATGGGCTTCAATCCGCATTTCTCAGTTCTTATAGAAGTCTATGGGAGTATCGCAACTCTGGTATTCAACCACCCTCTCCAAGCTTCAGCCAGCTCAGTTATATCCGGTGCAGCGCCGGAAGCCGTCTTTGCGGCGTAAACAGTGGAGAAGTCGCAGGAGATGGTGATATTTTACACTTGCTTTTTAAAAGTGCTTACCTGGATTACTGTGAACGATGTTAATCGCATTGTGAGACAGACAGCTGTCACTCCTAACAGCAAGAAGGAGAAGTTTGGAGTTACATCGACACTTTGAGGGTGAGTTTTCTCATGCTATATTCAACTAGCGAATCTAGCTAAATCCCAGTGATACATAGCATAGGATTTCTGGATGAACGGTGAGTAATACAGCATTTCTGTTGACAATAGTCATTATTCAAAATAAAAAAAAATTCATCAAAATAGTACTTTACATAAACTCACAAACAACATTTTTTGCTTAACTCATAATTTATAAAGAATACCCACAGTATGAGATCAGGCCTAGATATAACACAGTATGTGGACTGTCCCACTACCAGTGTCAAAAATTTACTTTTTTTTATTTTAAAATTATAGAACAGTATTTGCCTGAAATTGATTTTAAGAGGCCTTTGAGAGCATTACGAGCACTAGTTTTTTCTAACCATACAAATACATTGCATGACTATAATGATGAATATAATGTAAAAATTTATATAATGTAAAATATTGAAGGTCAGACAACAGATTAAAAATTAGGGAATTTACTTTAATATTTTTTTTTGTTTTTATTTCAGGAGTACACATTACAGAGGTGTCACCAGTGAGTTGCCTCTCAGTCCTCACAGTGGCCGAGCTGTATTAGGACTTTGTCAGCACTACATCCCCTTTGGTCACCACGATCAGGATGTTCAGTGAGGATTCATTGGTGGATTCCGCCTTTGGAAAGGTTTAGGCTGGGAGTGTGTTGTCATATCAGCAGAAACAACCTGCAACATTATTCACCATCAAGATGCCCCATCGCCACCACATCTGCCACTTGTTGGTTACAGCCTTGACCATCTGGCTGCTTGTTTGTCCATAACGAACATATTTTGTATATACACAACAATGTACACTTTATCAAAGTTACTTATATGTTATATTTACATGTTTGCATTACCGCAGTGCAGGTATCAGAGTCATTTATATTTACGTTTGCATTGCCGCAGTACTTGCAGGTAACACTGTATTAAAGTTTATATTTAAGTTCACAATATGACATTGCAGATAACACCATTGTATCAAAGTTATTTATAGGCTATTTACATTGTCTACATTTGTACAAATAAATGCAAATTTATCCATCCACAATTTCTATACTAAATATTATTGTAATTAACATATTGTGCCGTTCTATTGTATTGTTGTGAAGAGTGTGAGTAGCCAAGGGTATAAATGAAATCTGTCTCTAGTGTTTACTCTTCAATGCTTGGCTTGTGTTAAGGGCGTTGTGCTGAACAGAAGTAGATGTTCTACTGGAATAAGGTGGGTAAAAGCCCCTTTAGCACAACTGGACACATTGTTGGATGTAACTACTGTCTTCGACCTTTAATATGTGTTGTGGATTTTTTCGTTGGTGTGGCCAATGAAGTTCGAGAAGCAGAGTTCCAGATGTCAAAATAAGACTTTATTCAACAAAGAAACAAAGCCGGGAAGACAGTCACCGCATTCCAAATCATTCCAAAGTCTTTGTTTGTCTACTCATCTGTTATATACCCTTTATTCTCTCCAAATTTGGTCATTTCTGTTTTTTCTTTGTTCCGGTCATTTTTCATTGGTTCTGGCTAGCTGGTTTGCCACTATGTCTAAATCTTGAGCATCGACTGTTCTAGGTCATGGACATTATGGGTATTAAAACACACTTGTGCTTTTGTGCTCAAAGATGCTTTCGTCAGTGGATTTTGCTAGATCAGCCATTTTAACTGTCAGCCTTTATTCTTATTGGTGGAACGTAGCTAGATCACCCTTTTAAATGTTACAATTTGGTTACTTGTTTCTGCCTACTGCTGTGTCATGCCTATGATGACCCAGATATTATTAGGTTTATTTAAGTTCACTGGCTTTACTGCCTAATGAAAAAGGCTCTCATACATTCATCATTCCCTATTATAACATCCAGGGTTGGCAACTTTTAGCATATTGATTTATATATTGATTACTTTCATTTTCTCATAATATTTCATAGAATTTACACAACATATGTAAACTTAACGAAAGCTATAACTGGAATTAGATGTTATATATGTTTATGTTATACTCGATTGTAATTGACACAGTAGTGTGTAAATCACAAAAATCCCCACTGGAGGTTGAATCCAGTTTAATTTCATTAGTCTCTATTTGCAGCGGTGTCATTCACAAAAACCACCACAGGAGGGGGCAGCCAATTAGAATTGATTCATGATTGACCTAACCCTAATGATTAATGCATCATTACTTGTTTTGTGTCTAATGACAATATTGTATGTAAACAAGCATGTCAATAAAGTACTTATAAATAAATAAATTTGCAGCGCTGTAATTCACAAATACCACCACACAAGGGCTGTTTAAAGACGTCAGACTCGATTTGCAGTGGTGCAGTTAAAAAAAAACTAATCTTCACCATTTTAGGCCTTTTAACTTTCTTGTTAATAAATGTGTTATTTTTAACAGAAGAGGGGACAGAGCATAGTGCAAATAGCTTTGTTGTTCATACTGAAATGCGTTATGTTTTTTCACCCTCTTGCAGAGGTATATAGTGCATTTATTAGACTCGATTTGTAGTGGTGTAATTCACAAGAAACATCACTGGAGGGTGTAATTTTTTAGTCCTCTCTCTCTCTTGCAAGTGTGTTTATTAACGAGTAAAAACAATGAAATAACATACAGATTGTGATAGTAATTCTGATTGGCTGTTAATATTGCAATGCATTATGGGTCTGTTTTTCTGCTCTTACCCTCTTGGAGTAAAATAGTGCATACCAGATATTAGACTTGATTTAGATTGGTAACTCACAAAAATCATCACAAAAGAGTGCAATACACTACTTACATATTAAATTATATTAACTAAACAATGATTCATAAAGAATAAAGTAAACACATAATTGTGTTTAGTCAGATAATAAGTAGTATTATAATACTACATTTTAATTATAGAAAAAGAAGTCTTGAGATTTAAAAAAAATAAAAAAAAATAAACTGGTAGTAGTATCTATATTTTAATTATAGAAAAAGAAACTGTTGAGGTTTAAATTACAAATAATTAAACTGATAGTAGTAAATGCTAATGTAAAAGACCAAAAAATGCCTTAAACACAATCTCTGTGGTACAGAGGATTGTTTACCTTTGGGTGTGAAAGTACTGAATCAAATATAGAGAGTTTTAAACTTACTTGTGTCTAACCTAAATTGAGGGTCAAACAATATAAAAGCCTAGTGGTGCTTTGGCTAAACGTGACTTTGAATCATGAAACTACAACAAAGACGTGTTCAAATCCCACAGAAGCAATAAAATCTTTTACTCAGCCTGAACTTAAACTTAAAATCTAAATGACCCTAAAAATAAAAACAAGTACATACCTACAATCTCTGTGGCTCAGTGGTTAAAGGTTTCACTCTCACATATAAAAGTCCTGGTTCTAATCCCATTATTGCTTACTTTAAACTGGTCTCAGCCAACAAAGTCACTCAAACGCCAAAACACCATGTGAAATCCATGATGGCTTAGTGGATAAACACACATTTTCGGAGTTTGTGATAGAGACATGGGTTCAAATCTCTCCTCCAAAAACCACATACACACTTTACTTTAACATCTTTATTGGGAAATCACAGGTAAACTGTCAAATATAAGTTCCTTCATGTATTCCAACAAGAGACCTGTGGCTCACAGGTATGAGCGCTGCCTCACGGGTTCAGAGGTTGCTGGTTTGACCCCAGCCAGGTCTCTGCGATATGAGTGAATGCTGGAGTGTGTGTGAAGGCATGCCTGAAGAAGGGGGATATCAGTACGGTCTCCCCCTGGAGCTTCCAGCACCGTGACCCGCAGAGGTTATACTTTTGCACAGACTGAAAAAAAAATAAAGCTGCATAAAAATTCTCATCCCCCGTCCCTTCCCCACCTACTTAGGTTACCATCATTTGCTTTTCAAAGAGGAGGCCCTTCAAAAAGAAAATGATGGTAACCTACATGATTAGTGCACTAGAACACACATTCACACGAGATACATTACCTGTCCATCATTACAGTCAATGTCTGTCCACACGTCCAGAGCTCTGCTTCAGCCGGACGAGTTTACAACCAACAAGACATCACTTATTCTGGAGAGTCAAGACAGAAATACAGACATATTGAATATAAAAAAAAAAAATCTAAATTTAAATAATAGTTAATAAATGTAAGTTAACTACATAAATTTAATTCCTAAACAGTGTAAAAACATCACAGTCTATTATCCTTAAGTAATGCTGTACCCTTAATAATCTTTAATTCAATCTGCTTTTCTCCCCAGTTTATTTCTTAGGCATTTTTAATTAAATAAATGTGCATATACATTTACATATTGGGTTTCAAAAATATTTAATATATAAATGCTTCAACATAAACTTCATTAATTAAGATCGTTAATCCACACTAGTAAAGCAGCAAGACTGTCCAGAATCACAAAATTATTGATAATAAAGAAAAACAAAAGCACAATCTAAGTGGTAACAGGTCAGAGATAGTTAGAATATTACTGACAGTACGACTACAATTTCAAAAGAAACAAATAGTACGATTCTTTATTATTTCACTTAATAATATTTTATATAACATAATATTCATTCAAAGATTATAAAAGGTAAAGCAACAACTACTGATTTATTTGTTAGTCTAAAGGTCTGACATTCTGTGATAAACCTTCAAAGAAAGTCATTGCTAGCTGTTCAATAACAAACACATTTTAAACATGATTTTAGGTTAAAGACCTCATCGAAATGGAGGTTTTGAGGCTTTTAGTCCAAGTATGTTCGCTTTGAAGTGTCCATGTCGACATATTAAATGCAACAACACATTTAGTCTATCATTACATGAATCTAAATAATCTGACAAAGGTGCCCTGCTATGGCATATCTTACAGAAACATACAGAAACTGGAACAAAGATTTATACAAAACATAACGACTGTTAAATAGTGCATATAAGACAACAGAAGTTCACTTTATGCGGAAAGAAAGTTACTTACAGGTGAGTCGCGTGACACTCATTTTATCAGACTGTGAGTCGAGTTGTGTTTGCAGTTGAGCGGAAAGATGTGCTGTCAAGGTGACATTAACAGCTTTTAAGACTAAACCATCTGCAGGATCTGCACGTGTTGTTGTTGTGACTGTCATCAAGGGTCATGTTGTCAAGAAGCCAAGGAAGTCAGACTGAAGGTGAAACCCGCTTGCGCCGCCTAGTGGAGCGGATGCAAAACTGCCGTATTGAAGAGCCTCGTATTATGCAGTTGTAGATTTCAAGACTAAGTTGACTAACTAAGACTAACTAAGCCATTAAGTTGGCTTGAAAAAGCCTATCCAGAAAGTTTGAAGTAGTTTTAAAAGCTTGAAGTTTAAAGGTTTTCAGTTTGAAATAGCAAAACCAGCTCATTTAAGCGAAAACCAGCTAAAAACTAGTTAAAACCAGCTCATTTAACTAAAACCAGCTGATTTAGCAACAAAAGCTAAAAACCAGCTAAATGATTTAGCATAAAAGAGCGTAAAACCAGCTGATTCAGTATAAAAAAAAGTAAAAAAAAAAAAAAAAAAACAGCTAAAAAACTGTTAACTCAGCTAAAACCAGGTCATTAAGCGAAAACCAGCTGATTTAGCAACAAAAGTTAAAAACCAGCTAAAACCAGTTGATTTAGCAAAAAAACAGCTTAAAACCAAAACAGCTAAAACCAGTTAACCCAGCTAAAACCAGGTCATTTAGCAAAAACCAGTTAAAAACCAATTAAAACCAGCCCATTTAACAAAAAAATAAAAGAAAATAAAAGAAAAACCAGCTAAAACCACTTGATTTAGAAAAAAAACCCCAGCTAGATAGAAAAGTTTGTAGACAAACTTTAAATTGTCTCGAGAAAGCCATAGCCTGGAAGTTTTAAGTAGTTTTAAAAGCTTGAAGTTTGTAGTTGTTTAAAATTCATAGTCAGTGCCTTCCTTAAGGACAGAAATGGACTGAAGAACAGAAAATGACGTTTCAGTATTTCTGATATTTTCTTGATTTGAAAATGCCGTGCTATGCCGTTGTAATGTTTCAGGACAACAGTAAGCCATTTCCAGGTTAAAAAGCACTGCTTTTATTATGTGTTTGTTTGAAGGTTTATAATACCTGGAAAGTTATGCGTTATAATTCATGTTAATTTCAATGGTGATGCCAGTGTTCATGTGGAGTCAGGAATAATGTGATTACAAGTGACATTAATTCTTTAATATTAATGAGAGCTTATAGTGAAACAATGTAAAACTAATAACTCTGCTTTATGCAAGTTAATTATTTGTTATATAGCATGCATTATTTTTCTAGGATGTGTAAAAGTGATGTAGGTACAGCTTGTCCACTTGTTTGGATAGGCTACTTGAGTCACGACTGTGCAACTTGTAAGTAGGACCATTACAGGTGTCTCAGTTTTACTGCCAGGTTTCATTTTGAGCCAATCACCCGAGCTGCAAATGTCGTGATTAATTAAGCTAGCAACAGTTAAAACATTAACTTGGCGCAAAAAAGAACTACAGCAGCAAAAAAACAACAACCACCACCACAACTGTCATGAAAGTTTTTATTTTAAAATTAAAATAATGATCAATGCATGTAAAAATCTCTGAGAAAACAAACATTGCTCATGTTTAAATGTGGAATATTACAGGTTGTTGTAATGTTTCCATGAAAACGCTTGAATAAATTATATCACATACAGATGGTGAACACAGAACATTACACAACAAATGCATCCTTGCACTGCAAAAGTATGATTTTATGTACTTTGCAAAAGCAAGTCTTTCATCGATTCTTTTTTTTTTTTTTCAAAACCGGGTTGAGTCAACATTCACAAAGATGAATAAAACGAGAACAGAGTGAAAAAGAGAGAAATGATCAAAAGATGGAAAACCGGCCTTCTGTTTCGAAGGAAACAGCACTGACAGTGATATGAAGGCCTGCGGAGTATGTGAGTGCTGAATCCTGGCGGCTCCATCGTGTGCAGGGCGTCCCACTGGCCTACAGGTGTGTTTTTAACTCTTAACAGTTGTGCTTAGGATAACAGAACACCGAGGCATCTGGTTGGCCGCTTCCGACTCGAAACCAGATGGGTCCTCTTTCCCTGGAATAACATGTTCTCTCTTTTACCTCCGTTAAACAATATAATGATATAATGATGTATTTTTTAAAAACATTTTATAACTTTATTTTTGTACAAATCTATATAACCCAAATTTTAGAAATCTTATTTACATCAAAAAGTTTAAAATGGCTAACTGCCCACCCCAAGAAACGTTCACACATTTGCATTTTTTTTGTTGTTGTTTGTTTTTGAGTTTAACTCTTTTTCTTGTACAAAGAAAAAACAGCAACAGACCACCAAACAGCAATAGACCAAGCCAAAAAGCTCCTCTTTCTCAATATATGATCTTAGGAAACACAAACTGCCATCCTCAACCTGTGTCCACCTTATCCCTTGATGTATTTTATTTAAGGGGCAAAACAGAGAACAAACCAGAAACGGAAAGAGAAAAATAAGAAAAATAAGAAAGGTGGGTAACTTTGTCGTTCAGTGCTGTCCTCTTAGGTTTACCCCTCATGGGCAGAAGGAACAGTGGTTGGCGGCAAAGGTAAGAGGAACGTTGTCTCCCTCTAGTGGTGCGTTTCAAGCACCGCAGGACATGGGGCTCACACGCCACCCTCCTCCGCACAGCCTCCGCCAGCTGTGTAACGAAACTCCTGCAGGTTGGACACACCGTGGAAGTGCACAAAAGCACCTGCTACCACCAGGATATGGAACAGCTGATGGGAGTGGAACTGCAAAATAATGACAAGGTACGGATTAGACTTTAAATGTAATGAGAGGCTAGTTTTGCATTGTGAACTCAGTGTGTGAATTCCAGGACATCGACTCACCCAGATGTCACACTTGCCAGGGAAGAATCTCTCGGGGATGCGTGCGGCGTACAGGCAAGCTCCGGTGATGTACAGGACAGCCATGAGGCACAGCCAGCCCATCTGACCCATGGTGGTGGCCCTCAGGAAGCCCTCAGTGATCATAAAGTGCAGCGTGGGGACGACTCCACTGAGGCCGAGACCCACAAACACACCTGAGACACAGGACAGGTATTCATTTAACTGTTTATACTGAGTTATTAGATGTTTTTATACCTCCAAAATTAACATGCATAGAGTGCAAGTAGAAATTAGGAGAAAAGGAGTTTTATGGTTGGCTGTTACTGGGCTACTTCTTGTTACACTGTTCCTAGAGGTTATGGTGTACTAGAGCAGGACAGAACAATAAAGTCTATTCGGATCAAAAGCATGCAGAAGAAAATGTCCTGAACAATAAAGATTGCATCTTACCGGCCCTGACTCCACGGTACTGTGGCGTGGAGAAGAAATCACACTGTGAGACTGTGATGGCAGCGACCCCCAGAATACACACCACTATTAGGTATATGAAACAGGGCTGAGGGGAGCAGTAGAAAGAGTAATATAGCCAAGGTACAAAACTGCCCATGATCAGGAACGCAATGCCCGAATAGTCTAACCTGTGACAGGACAGAATGAGAGAAAGGAGGTTAAGAGAAAATGTTAAATTAACTTGATTTTAAAAATAATTTTACATATATTAAAATTAAATCATTTCATGATTAAAACAAAACATTTCATTAATTTAAATTTTTTTAAATATACTAAACTTAAAGAGAAATTTAAAAACATTTCAAAAAGGTTCATCAACTTTCTTGACATCATTTTAACTTACTTAAAAAAATAATTATATATATATATATATATAATAGAATTAATCGTGGTTAATGTTTACATATAATTAATTTTTTTAAGTTAAAATAATTTATATTAACATTAGTTGAAGTGTATTATGGACTAAAAAAAAAAAAGAAGAACTATATCTACCAAGTAACATTAACAAAGATTAATAAATGCCATATATTGATCCTAGTGCATCAACTAATATTAAAGTACAGAACCTTATAATAAATTGTTACCCACAGTTAAAATTCCTTAATAGTTGGGAATACTATCATCTTTTTTTGCAACGTGGAAGTAAGCTATTTTCTGTGAACGTGCGAGACTTCAGATTCATTAGCCGCTATAGATAAATAGTTAGAGGAATAAAGAGCAATAAACGGTCAAACTATTTGCGCTACAAACCACTGTTTATAATTACAATAATACATTATCAAGCAGCATAACAAGCTGTTTTGTGCACATTCAAGTTACAAATGGCCACGTCCACTCAGCACTCACTTTAAAAAAAGGTGGATAAGAAGAATTGTTTGCAGTGAGTGTTGCAGGTGCTTACTTTGAGAAGACACGGGACACCCCCTCTGAGTGGCAGTAGACTGTGTGAAAGAGCCAGGAGAAGGACAGGCAGAGAATGGCCCCCAGGAAGAACGTGCCGATGACAATCTTCTCCTGGAACGGGGCCACAAATGACATATTGGGCCTGAACATGTACACAATGCCCAGACAGAGAAAGAATAGGCAGCCTGGAGATACAAGAGAAATACTGGTTACGTGTGTGTTTGTGTGAGTGTGAGTGTGTGTGTGTGTCAAATCTCAATAACCCAATAAATGCTAATCATTTAAGGCAGAGTTATACAGAGGCCCCTCCCCTCTACAGGTCAATACAATAAATCAATAAATGTACAAAGAGTAAAATCGAAATCAAACTGAACTCAAAGCACATCAGAAAGCTCAGCAGTTACTAGTAGATCAACATTAAACATCTGCTTCATCTATTATGGCTCAGTCACACCACAAGTCCAAAGGTGAAGATCAATAGCTGCACATTACAGTCTCACCTCACGATCAATACCATTACCTAGAGCCACAGTCTATTATGTTAAGCATGACCTTACACCAGCCCCTACATTCAATGTTATGTAAAGAATGATCACATTTATCCACTAGGTGGCAGTACAGCATGCAGAAAGCGAGTGCTTACTGTTCTGACGTAATTATTCAATTTAATTTAAATGCAATTTCATTTAAATTTAATATTTATATTTTATTATATACATTTATATCTGTATATTTCCATTTATTTTATATTTATTTTTTATTATGGATATTATAAATATATTAAATAAATATTAAATATTTAAATTTGATGTTAT